ACTAGAAGCGATGCACTTGTTCCTAGTAGCTTCTTGTTACTAGAAGCATCCCTTTGGAACGCATGTTTTCTCTTTGGTATCTGGGAGTCCAACCGAAACGGCGAGAACAGACCATGCACTGGACCAGTTGCCATGACGCGTGGGCAATCGTGGGCAATGATAAGACGAATATAAGAACCTAGAAAATGCCAAGAGAGTGCCAACTTGGACTTTGTGGTTTACGCAAGCGAAGGTGTTTCTTGCATCATCCATCCCCTACCACATCCGTTTTGGCATTTTGGTGCATTTTTTCCAGGTCAGTTGGACCTCATGTTCGCTTGTTCTGTCATCGAAACACCGCCCGACTTGGAATCCTTCCGGTCTCCGGTCGACGCTCCGTGCATCGATGCTCCGTGCATAACGCGCCTCCGAGTTCATGGGCTACTTGGCCCTGGGATGCATCGGCATGACCGACGCGGCAGCTGACTGGAGGCCAGTGAAACAGACCAGACAGGAGTCAGTAGCTTTATGCTGTGAGGCTGTTGAGAGGGAGAGGAGAGGCATCTTGTGTGTGGCGCCGAACTCGGCGTTTCTTTGGTGTCGTCCGTAGGTCCGTACGTCTCTCTTGGATTCAGTTTTTGGGACATCGCGACACTTCAGCAAGGCAAGACCCTCCGAGTTGGAGACAACCGCATCATGGTGAGACAACCTTCAGTCACGAAGATGAAACAAAGGCTTGTGTGTTTTTTTCTGGAGCTTTTCTCTCCGCCCTACTGCATCCAAGCCTGTTTTTTCTTCCTGTCCCGAAGTCCAAGACGATGTTCGGCACCATCCAAGTACCTTTTTAAGCTAGTAGTAACAAGTGCCACGCTACTAGTAACAGGTGCCTTACTAGTAGTAACAAGGTTCGCTAGTAGTAACAAGTATTCATTCGGAATTCCTTTTCGGATCACCAAGTCGGGCCGTTTCGGTCGACTGGACTCCGAGTGTCGCGAATCGGCTGGACTCGGCAGGTCCATCTTGGGCGTCCAGGTGCATTTCAGCGAGGGCGCGTACTTCCCGCATGGAGGCCATCGCGGCTGTGGGGTTTGGAGGCCATGTCTCTCTTAGGTTGGAGGCCGCTAGGTAGCTTGGATCGTATGGCTAGGCCCCAGCGCCATCACCCGCGCGATGGTGCAGAAGATCGAGAGCCAAGGAGGCTGGTGGGCTGGTGGATCTGTGTGGGATCTGATTGGATAGGCAGACAGAGAAGTTCCTGATGGCAGAAAATGGAAAGGGAATGAAGTTGAATGGGGAAGTCTGCATGGTTTCTTTTCGAATGGGCGGAAGAAGACATCTTTGAGGGTCTCTTGGAATGGAAGGGGGCAAGATAGTATGTGAAGTTTCCAGGTGGGGTCGTCTTTGGAAGGCTTTGAAGAAAGACCTGCCAGAACCCCATGTTACCAAGAAGGCTGCGTTCGTTGCTGTTCGATGCCAACCTTTCCCTTCACCCGCTTTAGCCAAAAAATCGCCCACAAGACTCCAACCTAGAAGAAATGGCCTCCAACCCAAAAGCGTTCTTGCTGCTAATAGAAATATGCACTTGTTGCTACTAGCGATGGCCTCTAAGCCACTAAAATCGCCCGGATCGACTCGCACTCCACCTCAACGCGCAGGGCGCGTTTATGTACGCGCGCGAGTAGATGATCTGCTGTGGGAGGGCCAGAGCTGCTGTGGGGTCGTGCTGGAGCCTTGACGGAAGAGCTGTGGAGGGTCGTCAGTGGTACCAGGGGGTTTGTGGTGAGACTTCCGTGTGTGATGCTCTTGGCTCAAGTCTTTTATCGTTGGTAACTTCGTTGGCGAATTGTGCTGGCTCTTTCGCAAATCATAACGCAAGAGAAGGAAAAAGGCACGAATAAACGAGAGAAAGAAGCAGAAAAAGTGTGAATATGCTGAATAAAGCATAAAAGAGTTGCATTCTTCCAGTTTCTTTGCCGACTGATGGCGACACCAAGGAGAAGGACAGCTTAACGGTCCGTGCCCCTATCGTGGCAACTTGGCAGACCGCCCAACCGCTGTCGTACGCGACGGTCCTCTCGTATGCTCCAGGGCAAGCCGAAGCGGCCGAAAGAACCAGACGGAAGGGAGGCCGTGGTTCCAACAACCAACCACCTGAAAAAAATGGATATGTGTTGCTTCTCACAGCCCGCACGGAACGAAGACAAGCACCCTTTCTCGCAAGACTAGTAACAAGTGCATCACTACTAGTAACAAGTGCCTTACTAGTAGTAACCAGAAGCTATTAGGAACAAGTGCATCGCTAGTATTAACTTCTTCCGCGAACGGATCATGCCCCGAGGAACGGTTCATGCCCTGAGGTCTCCTCGGTGGGCCTTCACAATACCGAGAGGTTCCTCCGCGAGACGCTTGGTTCGGGGAACCGACGTGCTCGGCCGACGACGAAAAAACACGGTGCTTTTCTTGCATAGATTGTGGTGAGAAGTAAGTGTTCTTGTCCTGCCTTGGATCAGTCAAAGGTTGCTCTGAGGGCATCAAATGGTCAAATCCCACACTTTGACCCTCCCCCTTTTTCAGAAAAAAAGGCAAACCACCCGTCATGTTCCGCTTGAGGAAGCCCTGCCACGACGCTTTCGTGGAGCGCTTGCGGCCTCTGCAGCGGACGTACCTTGGGACGATGAGACGGTCTCTTGCGGAACAAGTGCATCGCTAGTAGTAACAGGTGCCTTACTAGTAGTAACAAGAAGCTACTAG